CCCACGTCGGCCGCCAACTCTGTGAAACCATGTAGGCTCCTGTGGTCACGTCCTGCAAACAAATGGCCCACTCAAACTCGCTCTGGAGGAGTTTCGCCACGCCGGAAGAATCCTGCACCCGTGTTTTGAGAGGCGTCTCGTCGTACATCAAACGCTCGATATAGAACACTGGGCGGAGGGCGCCGGCATCAATCGCAGCGAACACTTCGTACAAAGTTTGCTCTTGGTCACGGAAACTACACAGGGCAAGGGACCCAGCCGTGACCTTCCTGGTGCGTTTGACAGTTTGGCGATTCACATCCAGGTACATCATTGCAGCAGTAAAATTGATCTGCCAGTCCTTGGCGCGATTCTTACACTCAGGGTCGAGGAGGTGCGAAGCGATCTTGAACATGCTGTCGTGTGTCGCACTTCTTGCCACAGCCGCCCCTGCCTCAGCGTCGACCTTCTCAGCGAGATCGAAAATGCTCGATGGGGGAAAATCAATCTTCTTCAGGGCAATGGCAGCTCGCACCAACTCAAGGTCCACACGAGCGACCAGAGGCAAACTGTCGGCAATGGTAACGTGCTGGAGAACATAACGGCCTGATGAATCTCGTTTCCTCGTACCTGGTCGTGGTCGTGGGCGGGGGGCGGGAGCTTCTGGACCAGCTGCAGGGGCCATGCCTAGTGTCAACAACATTTGTCTCCGGCGGGCTGTGTTGCATGGGCCGACTCTCTGACCGGGTTGGCGCCCTCGCTGGCGACGAATTGGCCGGTCATCTTCTTGATCGGCTCTCGATGCCGATGCCAACTCTGCATCGGCTCCCGATGCTGATGCCAACTCTTGATCGGCTCTCGATGCTGATGCCAACTCTTGATCGGCTCTCGATGCTGATGCCAACTCTGGATGGGCTCCCGATGCCGATGCCAACTCTGGATCGGCTCTCGATGCCGATGCCAACTCTGGATCGGCTGCCGCAGCCTCGCCGACCTAGGAAACCCAGAACTCTCGCCCTCTTTCTCTTGCCTCTTGCTCCTCCTTCTTCTCCTTCTCCTCCTTGGGGCCCTTCCTCGGTGCCCTCCTCCTCCTCCTCCTCCTCCTCCTCCTCGCTTCTCCTCCTGCTCCTCCTCCTCCTCCTCCTCCTCCTCCTCCTCCTCCTCCTCCTCTTCCTCCTCCTCCTCATTATCCTCCTCTTCCTCTGGGCTCTGGGGAGGGGGGGGCGTTCTGTGCCACCCCCACCTCTTCCCCGTGGAGGTCCTCCTCCTCGGAGAAATCCGAGCGCCACGGCATCCGGGCAGGCCGCCCCCCCCCCGAGGAAGAAGAGCCAAACGAGCGGCGTCAAGGAGGATGCGGAGGAGCAGCAGCCATACATAGGACATAGGCAATCGTGAAGTTCGGGGTTGAGGGTTGAGGACGGATGAGATCCGCCGCCGCCGCCGTCGCCATCGTCATCGCCGTCGCCTTCGTCGTCGTCGTCGTCGTCGTCGTCTTCGGCCCTCTGGGGGGACCCCCTGGCGCCTGAAGCAGCGCAAGGGAGCGAAGACGACGACGACGACGACGCGACGACGACGGCGACGGCGACGACGACGACGACGACGATGGCAGCGTCCGCGTAGCGGCCCCGCACGAATTTCGGCACACCCTTTACACGCTCTGACGCTTCGTGGCCCCATAGCCCATAGCCCATAGCCCATAGCCCATAGCCCACAGCCCCATAATGCACAGTATACAGTATACTCGTATACTCTACCCTCTACACTCTAACGAAGGCCCCAGTGGCAGCGTTCGCATGACGGCCCCGCACCAATTTCGGCATACTCCTCACACGAGCTTCGTAGCCCCATGGGGGGCTCCAGCGCAAACGATATTCGATATTCGCAACTGCGTCACCCACGACTGCTATATAATATATAATTGGGTCTCTCGCCAGGATAATGGATAATGCGATGTTGGCGATTCAGTTGCGTGCGCGTGTGAACTTGGAGCCGTGGTCGGACGAACGCGAGACAATCGAGATCGCGTGAGATGAGCGCGGGTTTGTTGGAGATCGCGCAGAACGAGAGCGAGAACGATCGAGATCATTGGCGGCGAGCGCGAACAAGGTCGAGATCACCTGCGGCGAACACGAACATTTCGAGATCATCTGCGGCGAAACGCAAAAAACGTCGAGATCATCGGCGACGAAAGCGAATTGAGTCGAGATCCTTTTGCGAAAAACGCGCATATGATCGTTTGCGACGAGCACGACAATGTTTGAGATGATTTGCGGCGAGTGCGAAAACGAGCGGGATCAATTGGTCGAGCACGGTGTATGGTCGACAGCGATCGATCGACATCGCTCGATGATCGGCATAAATCGATCGACAGAACATCGGCACAAATTAATTCCAACGGCAAAGCCAGCATCGTAGTCTCAGCTCTAACGTCTTGTCGACAGTAACATCAGAAAACGGCGCCGGAAATTGCAAGAGCGCTCAGCAAAGACAACATGCCATGTCGCTTCCGCGGCCCACTGAGGCCCGGTCCCGTCTGCCTTTTAGCCCCCTGGGCGCACTGGCGAGCCCGGACGACTCAGTGACCGCGGCGTCGCGTGAGCCAACGCTATTTTTACCAGTCTGGAACATATCCCTATCCCTATGCTGGGCATCTCCTCATAACGATGCCAATATCAGGGATTCCCTTAGTTTTTCAGGGCGAATCCCTAAGATTGTCATCGCCTTTTGGCATGTCAATCTTAGACATAGGGATAAGATCGAGGCTGGTGATTTTTGCCGGTCCCACAACCGTGTGGCCACGGACCACGCGACGACCACAAAGCCCCAGGAGTCCTCACCACGCAATCCGTCCCCGCACGGCCCTGGGAACCCTCGGAGGCCCTGGCCGCCCGCGAGAGCTCTCCTCGGAGGCCGCCCCGAGTCCCGAGACCGTGCGGTGACCCCAACTCCCAACGGACTCACTGCGGGACGGGAAAATGACCACAGCCACTGCTTCTTGTTTGCGCCGCCTTCCAGCCGGCCGAAAAAGAAGCAGTGGTTGTGGTCATTTCCCTGGTGCCAAGCTCCATGAAAATGACCACAACCACTGCTTTGTTTCTGCGGGCTGGAAGGCGGCAGCAAAAGAAAAGCAGTGGCTGTGGTCGTTTTCACGCCCCGTACTCACCACCTGGTGTGGTGCACCGTTTGGGGGCCCCCGAGCTTCGGGACCTCTCGAGTGATGCCGCTCCAGAAAGCAAAGTGTCATCCCTGGGCGGCGGGGGGGGGGCACTTGGAGTCCGCGAGCACCCACTGGCTCTTCCGCGGGCGGAGATGCCCCCCGTTTTGCGTCCACGGGCTTCCGCAGACCTTCCACCGCATGGCCCTGAGGAAGAGAGCCGAACATCTCAATCCATCGAAGACGAGTCAGTCCGGTTCGGCAACGTCGTGACTGTGAAGGTCGGAGTGTACACCGCATCGCGGAATTATCGGCGATGCACTGCATCAGCGACGTCGAGATGGAGACGATCGGGCTCCAGATCGTGCCGCATCACAGTGCACCAGCGGCGCAGTGCGAGCCTCCGACCACACCTACTCCAGCCTGGGCGGCCTTGCCCAATACTGTTTTTACATGCGCAGTTGACCATGCCCCCGGTGCTCAAGTCAAGGACGGCAAGTGGACACCATGATCTCAAGGGATTATTAATTCCAGCTCGGACATCAAGAGCAGGTGCGCATGACGCACTGGCCTTGCTGCAATGCGTTAAGAACGCGAAGAACAATGCGCTATCGCTGCTGACGCGGGTAAGAATTCGCGTCTCGGTGTCCGGACATTCGGCACGTAGCTGGGCATCCATCCCAGACTCCGCTCAACATACAACTTAACTCCTGCACAGCCGCGGGGGGGTCGCGGGCCATGTACTGCGGATCACTCGCCACAGATGCTAGATGCTCTGCGCATGCCCTGCAAATGCTCGTGCGAATGCACCCTCGATGGCCCAACGCTGAGCGTATGCAACAGTCGTTATCCTCCTCCCCCTTCATCCTCACCCCTACTCCCTGCTGCCCCCGTCGCCTTCCATCCTCTGCCCTTCCCCCTCCCTCCCCTCCTCCCCCCTAATCCACCCTCCCCCATATCTCCTGCCCCCTCTACAAATACCCAATGTGAATCCATATCTCTCTTCTCTCTCTCTCTCTCTCTCTCTCTCCGGGCACTCCCAATATCGTTCGCCGCCTATCCGATACAATAACTGCCCAACAGTGACTTTCGAAATTGATAATTTCCCAACTGAACGTCCTCGGCCCATCTAGTATGCACTCTGTATACAGCGTGGACCGCGTCGAAATAGTTCCATCGAGCCTCCATCTAATAGAACGTCGCTCTCGCTGCACCGCTGGCCGCAATCCTGCATCAACAAGCGGGGTGCTCCCGCCGAAGCAGCGCGTGTTTCCGTCCAGTGGAAAATGCTCTCGCCGCAACGCTCTCCGTACTTTTGCATCCGGAAAAAAACACATGCAGCTCCCGTTGCAGCCTTTGCCACACGCAGACATTTCCATACGCTCGCGCCGCCGCGCTGGGCGAATACTGCATCAAGGAACGTGGTGTTCTGGCTTTAGCGTTTACCACGTCTCAGGGGCCAGCGGCCCTCTCGGGATCCACGTCCTCTTCGATGATCGGCTCTGCGATTCACGCGGGGGGCTCAACTCCAGTGTACGGGCTGGGACTGAGGGAGTAGAGTCAAGTATGGCGCGAGCGTGCCAATGATGCCCCTCCCTGTCTCGCCCCTCCCCCTCCTTCTCCCCACACTACCTCCTCCCGTCCCTCTTGATGCTTCCTCCCCCGCATCTTCCTCCCTCCTTCCTGCTCCTCCTCCTCCTCCTCCTCCTCACCTCTTCAGCTCCTAATCCTCCTCCTCCACCTCGTCCCCCTCTTCACCTGCTAATCCTCCTCCATCTCCTCCCAAACTAGTCCTCATCAACTCCTCCTGATCCTTGTCCTCGTCGACCGCCCCCTGCTTTTCCGCTCCCCCTCGGGATGCTTCGACCGTGGTGCTTCACGATGTGAGAGCCAGGCGTGAGCGCCTCCCAAACCCCTCGCTGGAAGTATGACGTGGGGCGCAGGAGGGGAGGGATGGAGGAACAAATGGAGGGACGGAGGATAGAGGCAGAACGAGCAGGACATGATGGAGGCAGGAGGGGATTGCGTCGGAGGAAGGAGAGCAGGGTGAGAGGGAAGGAGAGGATGGCAATTGACGAGGGGGTGAGGAGGAAAGGGCATGAGGAACAAGGAGAGAGGCAAGAGGAGGAACGAGAGGAGGCGACGAGAGGAGAGAAGAGGAGAGCCAGAAAAACACTCTGTGGCAACTCCTGGGAGTCACCCTGTTTCATCTGGCTGGATCTTGCAATTCGACGCTAGCTGACGCTCATCGACGCTACGTCGGCGCTACGTCAGCACTACGTCGGAGCTAGCTCGACGCTCATCGAAACTGAATCGGCACCTTCCCCATCGATGCCCGGACGCCAGTGCACGTCTGTTGCACCCTGCAGGCGGAACTGGGAGGCCGTGCAAGGCTCCCAAGGAGTTCCGGCGACTCCACCGGGTGTGGTTTGCAGAGGGTATGGCTTGCAGCGTACACCCTGTGCGGGCGGGCGAGGGTCTCGAGAAAGTTGCCAGCCGCGCCCCGAGGAGGTCCGACGAGGGAAACGTGGCGCCCCTGACGCCCCAACGACGCAGATCGCAAAGCACACCCTGGCGGAAGCAGTCTCTTTGCCTGCGGGCAAGAATTATATCCACATCAGCTGCGTCTTGGACTTTCCGGGAAGGGGCGCCAAAAGGGCGAGACGCACTGGATCTGGATAACCAATGTCGCCTCCAGGGGCGGAATGGTTCTCCATGTCCAGGGCGCCTTGGCTTTCGGGGAAAGGGGCCCGAAACTCCAGGCTGCAGTGGACATGGACGCGCATCTTTGCCCGCGCTGGCATCGCCGAGAGGGGCTGCCGAGGGAGCAGCGGGAGGACCACAAGCGGGAGGGGCGCGAGGGCCCGCGCCGCCCCGAGGGCGCCGAGCTGGCGGGCGCCTGCCGCAGCGGGCGCGCGCCCCCGCGGGCCGCGGCACGGCCTCCGCGCGAGCGATGCCTCCGCGGCGCAGGCGCCTATCGCGCGGAGGCCCCCCGCCTGCCACTCAGCGGGCCTCGCGTGGCAACTTGAGACTCATTTCAACCGGACAGGTCCCTGGTCATTGGTACCCCCACTCGAGATGGGGCCTGCCTGAGGGCTGCCGACCCCCAACAGCAATCGGCACATCATCATTCCACCGCCGCCGCCACCGCCGCGGAGGAAGCGGAAGCGGAGGAGGTCAGCATCGACGCCGGCATCGACGCCGGCATCGACGCCACCACCTGCACCAGCAGAGTCATCAACGTTGACGCCACCGCCGACGCCAGCAGCAACGCTTGCAGCGACGCCCGCATCATCATCAGTACTGGCACCAGCACAACTACTAGTCTCGACACCAACGCCGACGTCTGCAGCGACAGCAGCAACGACGCCTGCACACACAGCAGCAACGGCAGCAGCACAGCCACCATCTCCGACGTCAACACCCACGTTCGCAACGACGCAAACAGCGACGCAACGCCTGGCACGACACCAACAGCACCAGCAAAGCCGTCAGCCTCGACGCCACCGCCGACGCCTGCAGCGAAGCCAGCAGTGACGCCTGCATCGACAGCAGCACCAGCACCAGCACAGCTACTAGTATCGACCTTAACACCGACGCCCACCCCGACGTCAGCATCGAAACCATCTGCGAAGCCCGCATCGTCAACGGCACTGGCATCAGCACATCCACCAGCCTCGACAGCAACACCGACGCATGCAGCGACGCCAGCGGAGACGACCGCATCGACATCGGCATCGGCACCAGCACGACGACCAGCCCCGACGTTACCACCGACGCCTGCTGCGACGCCAACAGCGACGCTTGCATCGACGGCAGCGTTGGCACAAGCACAGCCACTAGCCTCGACGACAACACCGACGCCTGCAGTGACGACAGCAGCGATGCTTGCGTCGGCAGCAGCCCCAGCGCTAGTACAACCATCAGCCTCGATGCCAACGCCGACGCCTGCAGTGACGACAGCAGCGACGCCGCGACGCCACCAGCCCCGACGTCACCACCGACTTCAGCAGCGACACCAGCAGCGATGCCTGCATCATCATCGGCACCGGCACCAGCAAAACCATCAGCCTTGGCGCCAACGCCGACATCTGCAGCGACAGCAGCAGTAATGCTTTCATCGCCAGCAGCACTGGCACCAGCACAGTCGCCAACCTCCACGCCAACACTCGCGTCGGCAGAGACGCCAGCAGCGACGCCTGCGTCGACGAGAACACCGAGACCAGCAGAGCCACCAGCAGCGACGTCACCGCAAACGCCTTCAGCGACGCCAGCAGCAACGACTGCGACGACAGCATCGACGGCAGCACCAGCACCAGCACAGCCACCAGCGTCGACGCCAGCAATAACGTCTGCAGCGACGACAGCAGCGACGTAATCATCGACAGCACTAACAGTCATCCGCAGCGACCCCAGCGCTGTCACAGCGCCGATGCCTGCATCGACGGCTGCGAGACAGTGGCTCCCTCACCCGGCCGCCTTGCTCAACCGACGTGCCACGCCGACGCCTGCAGCGACGTCATCATCATCACCGCCATCACCATCACCATCACCATCACCATCACCATCACCATCACCACCATCACCATCACCATCACCACCACCACCGTCACCATCATCATCACCATCACCATCACCATCACCATCACCATCACCATCACCATCACCATCATCATCATCATCATCATCATCATCATCATCATCATCAACATCATCTGCACCATCGCCAACGCCAGCATCGACGCTCGCAACAGCGACGGCGGCGACAAAGCAGCGACTGATGCCAACCGACAACTCCGCGCAATGCCTGGCCATTATGAGTCGGTCCTGACGCCATCATCGACGTCTACCGCGAGACCATCAGCACTCGCACCGACACCACCACCGCCATCAGCACAGCCACCAGCCTCGACTTCAACACCGAGGCCAGCAACAACGCTAGCATTGCCGCCTGCATCAGCATCATAACCAGCACCAGCACAGCCACCCACACGCCGACGCCGACGTTTGCAGCGGCAGCAGCAACGACGTTTGCATTGACAGCAGAACTGGCTCCAGCACAGCCACAAGCCTCGACACAGCCACCCACGCCTGCAGCGACGCCAGCAACGACGATCGCATCGACACCAACACTGGCACGATCACGGCCACAGGTCGTCACGTAACCGCCGACGCCTGCAGCGATGCCAACAGCGACGCCAACACCGCCTCCTGCATCGACGTCAGCAATGGCACCAGAACGCGCCCATCAGCAGCACCACCCCGACGACGCCGCCGCCACCGCGACACGCCGTCCTAGAAGGCCCAGCGGGAGGCCAAGAAGCGGGCCAGAGGCGATGCCCAGAAAACGACGATCCATGTGCCGCCCCATGCCTCTCCCAACGCCGCCTCGTACCCCAGTCCCACAACCGCGCCCACCCCGACGCCCCCGCCGACACCCTACCCCCACGCCTCCCCTGACGCCCACCCCCACCACGACCGTCAGACGCCACGACTACGACAGGCGCGCTTCTCCGACCCACCGCAGGGCGTCATTACCCGACGCCACTCCAGACGCCACGCATCCCGCGCCCACCCTAAGACCACCTCAAGACATCAAATCTACGGCAGGCGCGCTTCGCCGACCAGCTGCACGACGTCATGCCCGACGTGCTCCCGACGCAGCGACCACGGACCACGCACCACGACCGCGACTAGCAGCAGCACTGCGGCCGCCACCACCGGCAGCACCGCGACCACCGCAGCAGCAAGACTGGAAGCTCACGACTGCCACCGAGCATCACACGCCATCAACTGAACCCTCCAACCGCATCCCAACCACACGGCCTCGAAGCCTGGCAGGATGGAGGCCAAAGCAGGTGCATGCCCCGCCCATCATGCGCCGCGGCGAACGGAGGCCCACAGGCTGAGCGGTCTGCCCGTCAGGCCCACTTCCAGGCGTCATTGCCCAGAGGCCCAATCCATCCCGACGCCATCGACGCATGAACGTCCACAAACGAAAAGCCACACTTGTGCATGGACCGACCGTCCTATCATTCCTATGGGTCTGCTACGACAGTTCCTTAGAAACCATGGCAGTTCTAAAAACATAAACCCAATGCGTTAAAACAGGACAGTCTCAGCCAGAAATGTTCTAAGACAATCTCGGGCAGACCACAAACGGTTCTTAGAACATTCCTTGGTGGGCCTATAGCCAAGCCCAAACGCTTCGCCACTGCTCGATACACATGCCCCGCTCCCTCCTGGCGCATCCCTCGTCGAGCTAGCTGTTGGACGATGGTACTCCCGAGCGGATCCCTGCCTTCGACGACGGACCCCCGCCCGACGCCCCCCTCCGCCGGTGTCCGAACGACCGAGCCCCTTTTGAAAAGGAAGTGTTCCTTATTCAAGCCGCTCGCTGTAGGACTCTCAGATCCTCAGTCGGCAGTCGGCCGAAGCAGGAGGACAGGGCGAACCGGGGGACTCGCGGAGCTCATTGCCAGCCAAGGGCTGGGGAGGCCAAAAGGTACCCACACTGCTACCCCCCCTCGCACCTCTCACAAAGGTGCGTGCTGACCAGGATTCCGAGGCGAATCCAGCGGTGGCGACGAGGGCCCCCCAGGTGGCCTAAAAAAGGGTGAAAGCGAGGGAAGGGTAGCAGTATGGGTAGCTAGAGGGGGGGGGGGAGGAGGAGGAGGGGGGGGAGGAGGAGGAGGAGGAGGAGGAGGAAGGAGGAGGAGAGGAGGAGGAGAGGAGGAGGAGGAGGAGGAGGAGGAGGAGGAGGAGGAGGAGGAGGAGGAGGAGGAGGACGAGGGGGAAACGGGGGCGAGGGTAGCGGTATGGGGTACCTCTCCCTGCTCTGAAGGGCCTGTGTGTTGGGGGGGCGGCAGGACGAAAGACCTCTCGCCACGTCGGATCCACGATGCCCCGTGCCGCTCCCGTCCTTCGGCCACCCGCGGCGCGCCCGGGTGGGAAACGCAAGAGGGGGCCGGCCTCCTGCGGCGACCCACGGCGGCCGCCCGAGGGCGGGGGCCCATGGGAGCCTTGTGACCGGCTCCGCCGCGAGGGAAACCCACTTTTTTTCAGGTTCGCTGCTTCTCTTGGCTGGTGCTAGCTTCCGCCGCAATCAGCGGCTCATCAGGCTTGAGCCTAGATTGGCTCTGGATTCGCACTCTACCTGCAAGGAGGAAAGACTGGTCTACTCTGTAAGAACGGTTTTTTGAAGGCAGATCTGCCTTCAAAAAACCGTTCTTACAGCGAGGGAAACGTGTTGGCAGCGGGCGCTGAATCCCACCAGCCCTCTGGGCGTCGGTGGGCTGGGGCGCTTCTTCTTCGTCTTCTTCCAGCCCCACTTCTTCCCCTGCGGGGAGGAGCTTCTCGCTGCCCTTTATATTAGTATGCACAACCTCCCCCAGGCGACCGGCGTGCAACCAAGAACCAGGAGGACAACATGACGACCCGCCCCCCACCATCCCTGTCAAAAACAATACAAAATGTTGAGCATGCGCGGCCAACCCGATGCGCCCCCCCCATATCCCTGTCAAAAACAATGCAAAATACACTTTGGGGCAAATGCTTGAGTCATGCTCGTGAGGCCCGCGAACACTTTGTACTGAGTTTGACATGGACGGCGGGGGTGCCAGCGTATCCCCTGTCGTTCGCAGGGCTACCATCCCTGACATAAACAATACAACATGCACCTCGCAACTAAATCTCGATCATGCGCGGCCATCCCGCGATCACTGTCCAATGGTTTGTGACAAGGACCGCGGGGGTGGTGGCGCGTGGCCCGCTGCGCGCAGGCCCACCAGACACAATGTTGGGCATTGGTTGTCGACAAGGATGGCGGGGGCCGACATATTTCCTGATTTGTGCTGTCACGTGCGCAGGCGCACCTGACGCACTCTGCACGTGCCCCGAAAATGGCGCACCTGGCGCGGCTGGAGTGTACAGTACACCTGGCGCACTCGGAGCACGTGGCGCTTCTGGCGCACCAGGCGTGCCTGGCACGCTCGGGCCCCAGGGTTTCCTGGCGCGCGTGGCGCACCTCGCCCCAGCGTCGCGCACCTGGGGTCGGCTTTGGTTCCCAGTAGCTGTCCATCTAAAGACGACCGCTGAACATGCTCAGGCTCGGATGTTACTTATGTGTTGGGAGGGCGGGTGGGAGTATGCTAGACGGCTTGCGGGCGGGTAAGTACCTTGACCCCTCCCCCGACCCCCTCCCCTGGACCTGGACGGGGGGTCGGGCGCGACGCGTTGGAGGGTCCAAGATGGCCGAAGATGGCTCCAAGAGCGCCTCGGAGAGCCCAAGACGACCTCCAAGATGGCTCAAGATGCCTCAAACTGGCATCCAAAATGCTCCAAGAGGCCCCAAGACTGTCCCAAGACGGCTCTAAGTGGCCAGAGAGCTTCCACAGGACGCCCCGAAGAGGCCAACATCCTTCAAACTTGTAAGGACAATCCATGTGTTTTGCTTTCTCGCCTTTTCGCTTCCGACGGCCATCCGAGGCCTCAAGATGGCTTCAACATGGCCGAAGAAGGCTACAAGAGAGGCTCAAGAGAGCTCCAAGACGGCCCTAAGAGCGCCCAAGAGCGCCCCAAGAGCACCCCAAGAGGCGATCTTTGGGGCTCCCAAGGGGGAACGCTAAACAAAAAGCTCCCCTCGTTTTTGATCAATATCTTCCAAGATGGCCTCAAGAGGCGCCCAGGAGGCCCCAAGAGGCCCTAAGATGGCCCCAAGATGGCCCCAAGAGGCTCCCAAGAGGCGCCCAAACGACCCCCACGAGGCCCCCAGAGGACCCCAAGCGGCCCCAAGAAGCCCCCTCGAGGCACCCAAGACGCCCAAGAGCCCCCTGGACCGCCAAGGGACCCCCAAGACGACCCAAGAGGCCTCAAAGAGGTGCCCAAGAGATATCACAAGAGACTCCGAGAGGCGTCCAAGAGGCCCCTGGCACTTTTGCTCGCCCTCCTCCTCCTCCTCCTCCTCCTCCCTCCTCCTCCTTCTCCTCCGCATCATCCTTTTCATCATCCTTCTCCCTCCTCCCTCATCCATGCATCCATCCATCCATCCATCCATCTATCCAACCATCCATCCATCAATCCTTCCATCCTTTCTCCTCCTTCGAATGGTTCGGCTGTCGCCCTCCTTGCTCCTGCACCCCCCCGATCACCTCAACTCGCCTGGGCGTCGTTTCTGGATGGGCCGGCGGGGATGAGCGAAGCGTCAGGAGCTGCCAGCGTGGGGCGCGTCGCTGCCCCTGCGGCTGTTGGCGCCGCTTTCGCTGCTGGACGCGGGCGGAGCCGACGCAGTCTGCTGTCGGGGATCTTCTGACCTGGATCAGTCCAGACCCGGGTCAGCCAGGCCTGGCGGAATCCTGCAATATCCTGCAAGATCCTGCACCCAAACCCGGGCCAATGCGAAGGGTCCCGCAAGACCCTGCAGGACCCTGCACCAAAGCCCGGGTCGGTGCGAGCCTGGCCCTGCAGGATCCTGCAAGAGCGGGCGCCCTGGCTGACCCCCGTTTCCATTGACTTATGTCGGGCCTGTCCCCCTACAGGGGGATTTTCGACGACAAATAAAAATACCCCCCAAAAAGCACCAAAAAGGTGAACAAACACTTGGAAAATAGTCTCCAGACTATGTTTTATTGTTTCGATTATGTTGTGGGTACCTTATTTTTCGTCGAAGATCCCCCTGTATGGGGGACACGCCCGACTCGGGGATGGATAAACCTCCCTTTAGTAAAACGTGGTTTAGTGAAAACGACCTGAGGCCCAAACCTGGCGGGCGCAAGCCTGGAAAATAACGGCCGCGGCGCCCTCTCGAGAACCGAAAACGGACAATTCACTAATCGACGTGTCACTGTTGGGGGTTCTGTCCGCCCCCGACCGACATAAGAGCACTGACCCCCGTCGCAAGGCTCCCCACCGCTGCTCACCTGCGCGCGGCCCAGCCCGTTCGCGGCGGAGGCGTCTCCCGAGCGGACCCCGCCCCCCCGAGCGGGGGGCCGCGGGCCTGCACCTGCCACGCAGGGCGCCCGCAGAGGCGGCGAGGCGCTCCCGTGTCGGTCCTGGAGCTCCTTCCACAAAGGCCCTGAGAAACTGTTTTGATCCGCGGGTCGAGAGCGAGCCTCTTCCAGTCGAAGCTAAGCGGGCCGCGCACAGCTTTAATTCACAGAGGAAGGAAAACAGAAGGAGGGGCCTCACGTCAAGGCCATGAGAGGGCAACGCCCCGGGATCAGGCGGTGCGGAAAGCGAAGTGCATGCAAAGGAACGCCTTGAACAGGAACCTAAGATCCTGATAAAGAAAGACGCTGGCGTTGGAAAGCCTAGGGTCAGCCAGGGACCGGCCTCTTGTCGAAGCCGCCGAACCCCTCCCGAAACCCTCCAAAAACCTTGAGGGTTGTCCGATGGTTTCGGACGGTTCTCGTCGCTTTGGGAGGAATCCAATCCCGAGCGAGCCCTGGGCTTTCTAAAGCTGGCGCACCGGACAAAGGTGCAGCCCTGGGGCGAACCATTCACCATCACTCGCCCTCTCCAGCTGTAGCGTCGAGGTTCTGCTGAGCACTGACCTGGTTTAGGGGCCCGAATGGAGAAACCAAGCGGTACCGTTACCGCTACTCTCCAGACCTCTCCCGGGGTGCGTTCTGACCAGGATTTCGAGGCGAATCCAGCGGTGGCGACGACGGCCTCCCAGGAGGCCCAAAAAGGCGAGAACGATGGAATGGCAGCAATATGGGTACCTTTTCCTCCTCTGATCTGATCGGGGACGCACTGACCCGTGTCAATCCAAAGCCCGGCCACTCGCGCTTTGCAGGATTCTGCAAGATCCTGTAGGGTCCTGCAAGATCCAGCATGCAATCCTGGGTCAATGCACCCTTGGCCCTGCAGGATCCTGCAAGATCCGGCGCCCTGGCTGACCCCCGTTTGCATTGACTCCCATCTCTTTCGGGATGGATTAGCGATCCATGGAATTGGCGCGCGGTCGCCAAATCCATGGATCGGGGGAGGTGCCCTCCCCAACATGCGCCAAGTGCCGCCTCGTTCGGAGGCGGAAATCTGCGATTTCCTTTGGAAACGGGACCCGTCCCTAATCCACGCCCCCTTAATCCATGTTTGCGATCGCCTGACTCTTGAGCCCCGACCCGACCCGCCCCAACCCGCCCCCGGCCGAGAAGAAGGCGTGCGAGTAGTGCCGCGGGAAGGCCTCCGCTCCCAGCCCCGCTGGTGGCGGGGGGGAGGGGCGAGGGGCCCGCGGCTTTCACGGCGTTGGCGGGCGCTGACCTCGTCGCCCACCGCTTTTCACCGGCGGTTCCTCCAGCTCATCATCCCGCTTGTCATTTGTCCTCCTCCTCATCCTCCTCCTCCTCCTCCTCCTTGTCTTCCTCCTCCTCCTCCTCCGTCTCTTCCTTGTCTTCCTCCTTTGTTTGATCCTCCTTCTGCTCCTCCTCGCTCTCGTTTTTCACCCTCCACCTTCTCGCCCTCGTCGTCCTCGTCACCCCTCCTCCTCCTCTTCTTCCTCCTCCTCATCCTCCTCATCATACTCGTTTCCAGGCCACAACCCCATCCTCTGCCCCCCACCCAACCGTGCGGATGAGCTCGATGCGCCCCACAGTTCCACCACTCTGTCTTCCTCTTCTTCGTCCAAAAGTTCTGAGGTCGGTGCTTCTGTTTTTCCGCGTGTCCACCTTGTTTGGGCAACCGTGAGCTCCACTGAACACCATCGAGCACCATCGAACGTTGCTGGGCGCATCATTGGGCAACCCATCAGGTACAGATGCCGCTACTCCCAAAGACCTCACCCAAGGTGCGCTCTTGCCCGACGTTCGAACACAATTCCCGTGCTTCGGCGGTGGACAAACATCCCTTTAGTAGACCTCCCCTTAGTGAAAACGGCCTGGGACCGAAACCGACGGACCTGGACCCGCAAAAATGACGGCCGCGACGCCCTCTCGCGAACCGAAAACGGCCGATTCCTTAATCGACGTGTCAGGGTAGGAGGTCTATCCACCTCCGAAAAGACCTCACCCAAGGTGCGTTCTTGCCCGACGTTCGAACACAACTCCCGTGCTGCAACTTCACGGACCTCTCCCGGGGCGGGCCCTGTCCGGGACATGCGGGGGGCGGGCCCGACAGTGGCGACGGACAGCGGGATCGCTCGGTTCCCTTCTCTGAACCACTTTGAAGGTGGGGTCCCCCCAGATCAGGCGGGCGGCAATAGGGGATTACCTAGGAAAGGGGGGTGCAAAAGAGAACCCCAAAAGGGCCCATTAAGGCCCTTTCCCTCCCCCCCAGTTGGGCCACCGACATTTCCCACCCGCCCGACACAGTCCCGACCCTTTCCCCAAGGCCAGTCTTTCGTCCCGAACTGTTTTGTTGACAGTCTCGGTGCCTCGCGAAGGACCCCAGAGGCCGAAAACGGCGAAACATGCCAGATTTTTCCGCGACGCGCAAGGGGTCTGGATCCTCCTCTTCCTTCGGTCAGCAAGGCTTCTTTTCACCCCCACCTGCACTGGCCAACACGAACCGCGGGAACACGGCGTGGAGCTCCAGGACGCCCCGGTGGGGCTCCTCCTCCTCCTCCTCCTCCTCCTCTTCCTTCTCTTCCTCCTCGGTTTCCTTGTTCTTTCCCTCCTCCTCCTCCTCCTCCTCCTCCTCCTCCTCCTCCTCCCCCTCCTCCTCCTCTTCCTCCTCGGTTTCCTTGTTCTTTTCCTCCTCCTCCTCCTCCTCCTCCTCCTCCTCCTCCTCCTCTCGCGGCGCATCCCGTCCACCCCCGGGCCCCCTTCCCGCCCCTGGGAGCGCGGGCGCGGCTGTGGGCTGGAGCTGTGGGCGGGAGGAGAACAGGGCCGCCCCATCGGCGCCGACGCAGCGACTGTGCAGATGTCCCATTTGCACTCGAAGGGGGGGGAGGAGGAGGAGGAGGAGGAGGAGGAGGAGGAGGAGGAGGAGGAGGAGGAGGAGGAGGAGGAGGAGGAGAGGAGGAGGAGGAGGAGGGGAGGAGGAGGAGGAGGAGGAGGAGGAGGAGGAGGAACACCATCAGGGGGAAGGGAACGAAGAGGAGTACGAATCCTAGGGAAGGGGGAAAGAAGAATCCCACCAACCCTCTGGGCCTGCATGGTTACATGGCGTCATGTCCCCGAACGCGCAGCCGTGCGGGACTGGAAGCGGACGGGAGGAGGAACGAGAGAGGAGAGACGTGAGCTAGGGGGAGGGACGTGAAACTCCTGGAGAGGAAGGAGGACAATTAACCGTTTGCCGTCCGAAGCGCTGTGTCCCCCCTGTAGGGGGGACAAGGGAGGAGGACCTTCTACAATTCTGGATCGCCCATCACCATGGACGTTTGGACCACGCAGTTTCTCCGAATCCCACCTCCTGCCGACCTCCTGCCTCTTACCCCCACTTCCATCCTCTCCCCCCCCTCCTCCGCCCACCCTTCTCTCCTTATTACCTCCCCCTCGTCCTCCTCCTCGTCCTCCTCCTCCTCCTCCTCCTCCTCCTCCTCCCCCTCCTCCTCCTTTTTCCCACACCCCCCTCTCTGCATCGCCTCTCCCTCTCGCAAGCCCCCTTCCGCCGGCCCTCGAGCCGCATAGCGCCAGCTCGTGGCTGATGAAAATGGCATGGTCGCGCGGTTAAGCAACGGATCCCACCGGCCCTTTTTCAGGGCGTGAGTGCATTATCTTTTGTTGGGGCTCCCCTTCCCGCGGCTGTATATTCTAGGCCGCTCGAGGCGAAAAAATCTTATGCCCCAGCGCCTGACTTTGGGTTGGGCCAATAGAACGACTGTGGCTGCTGATGGTCCCTCCCCGTCCGCTCCCCGTTTCGCCGCAGTCAGGCCAGACCAGACCAGCAAGTCCATGGGGGCCTTCTGCGGTTCACGAAGCACGTTGACCAGACCAGACGAACCATGCCAAACAGGACCGGCCATCGAGACCAACCAGACCAGACCGACCAGACCAAACCCGACCGCTCAGACCAAACCAGACCAACCAGACGAGATCAGAGCAACAAGACCAAACAAGACATGACCAGCAATACCAACAAGATGAACTACTCGACCAACCAGACCAGACCAGACCAACCAGACCAAACACCAGACCAACCCATCTAGACCAGGGGGGAGGGCGGAGAGCGACTCACGAAGCACGTCGACTAGACAAGACAAAGCAGACCAAACCAGACCAGCCTGCGAGACCAACCAGACCAGACCGACCAGACCAAACCACACCTACCAGACCAAACGAGACCAACCAGACTAGACCAGACCAGCCAGACCAAACCAGACCAGACCAACCAGACCAACCAGACCAGAGAAGGTGAATTATATTCGACCAACCAGACCACACCAGACCAGCTAGACCAAACACCAGGCCAGACCAGGCAGACCAGGGGGGATCGAGTCACGAAGCGCGTTGACCAGACCAGACCAAGCAGACCGAACAAGACTTGGTAGGTGAGACCAACCCGACCAGACCGACCAGACCAAACAAGACCGACCGAGCCAGGCTAGACCAACTGGACCAAACCAGACCAGACCAACCATACAGACCAGGCCAGACCAGCTAGACCAAACACCAGACCAGACGAGCCAGACCATGGGGTGGGTGATTCACGAAGCACGTTGAACAGACCCGACCAACCAGACCAGACAGACCAGATGCAAACAAAAAATGCAAGACCAGACAGACAAGACCAAAACAGACAGACCAGACCAGACCAGACAGACCAGACCAGACAAAACAGACCGACAGACCAGACCAGAGAGACCAGACAGACCAGAGTGACCCGACCAGACAGACCAGACCAAAAACAGCATGCAAAGAAAAAAGCAACGGCAACGCAAACAACAATGCTTTTCGGTGGTAGTGGTTCGCGCTGCCTCCCTGGACCTCCCCTAAACCACTCTCGCCCGAAGCCTGAGCTAAAGCTTCATCACTAAGCTCAAATCAGACCAACCAGACCAGACAGACCAGATGTAAAAACTGCAATGCTAAAACAACATGCAAAGACAACACAAAAGGCAATGTACACAAAACTGCTGGTCGGTGGTAGTGATTGGCGCTGCCTCCCTGGACCTCCCCTAAACCACTCTCGCCCGGCACCTGAGCTAAAACGTCAGCACGAAGCTCAAATCAGGCCAATCAGACCAGCCAGACCAGATGCAACAACTGCGAGGCTAAAGCAACATGCAGAGAGACACCAAAGGCAATGCACACAAAACTGCTGTTCGGTGGTAGTGGTTGGCGCTGCCTCCCTGGACCACCCCTAAACGACTCCCGCCCGAAACCCAAGCTAAAGCTTCAGCATTGCGTAAGCTCAGACCAGACCAACCAGACCAGCCAGACAAGATCTGAAGCTTCAAGTTCAAGCATAAGGCTGAAGCTTCAGGACTGCACGTTTGAAGCTTGGCGTCCCGCCGTGCGCTACAACGGCTAAGCACTTTCTTACATGTGCGAGCCTAACCCAGGCATATCAGCAGCCTCGGTGTCTCCTGGCTTATGTGAAGAAGCGAGCTTCGAACTGCTGCCGCGGAGTGCGAGCAAGAGAGAGTCTGCCTGAAGAGCGCATACTGACTAAAGCATCACATAACAGACAGCTGAGAAAGACATTGGTCAGGGCCCATCCCATGGAAAAAGAAACAGGGTTATGGACCCAGGTCGTGAGTGGTTTAGAGTGTTTCCCCCCTTCTTCCCCTTCGGGGGAAGGCGTGTCCCTCCCCCCATACCCATCTCTCCCTGCACCTGGACGGGAGGGGGGCGGTGGGTCGTCAGAGCGTCCAAGATGACATTTACTTCTCGAAAGATTTGAAAGGGGTCTAATTAAGACGCCCCTCTCCATTGATGGATCTCCTCCACGATGACCCCAAGATGGCCCCCGATGCTCCCAAGGGTGCCCCAAGACGGCCAAGAAGGATCCACGAGGCCAACACCACTGATTTTACCAAGGTTTGGGGCACATGTTGGTCTCGTGTTGGGGGGGGCTCACTAAGGAGCCCACCTCCTTTAATCGATCTCCTCCCCTAAGATGGCCGCCCCGAGGCTTCGAAGGGTGCCCCGAAACTGCTCCAAGAGGTGCTCAGGAGGCCCAAAAGACTTCCAAAACGTCCCCAAGAGGTCCCCAAGAGCCACCAGGCTTCAAAAGGCCCACCTGGAGGAAGCCAAGACGGCCCGAGAGACCCCAGCGAGGTGGCCAACATCACGGATTGTATGCACCGAAGTTTTGGCCACACGTTGGCTTCGTGTGAGGGGGGCTAATGTAGTGCAGCCCGTCGTTTGATCGATCTTCTCCATGATGTCCCCGGGATGACCTCCGCAGCTCCCAACGCTGCACCAACACGGCCCAACAGGGTACCCGGGAGACTCCCAAGAGACACACGAAACCCCCCTGGAGGCACCCAAGATGCCCAAAAGCCCCAGGGGCTGCCGAGAAACCTCCAAAACGCTACGCGAGGACACCAATAATCTCTCGAATGTCGAACGGAAAGACTTTGAGAGGCATCATGAGGCCTCTGGCCTTGCTCCTCGCCATCCTGCTCCTCCTCTTCCTCCTCCTCCACCTCCGCCTCCTCCTCCGCCTATTACTCTTCCTTTCACCTCCCTCCCCCTCCTCCTCCTCCTCCTCCTCCTTCTCGTCCTCCTCCTCCTCTTCCCCCAATTATCCTCCTCCTCCTTCTCCTCCTCCTCCTGCTCCTCGTCCGTCTCCATCTCGTCCTCATCCTCCTCATCCTCCTCCTTCTCTTCCTGCTCCTCCGGTTCCTCTTCCATCCCCCCCTTTTGGGCTGCGACGTCTCGCCCGGCCTTTTATGCCACTGCATGGGTTGGCGGGATTGCTCGAAGCGTCCAGAATGTCCCTGCTCGGCCGAATCGCAGGGGGACGCCCGCCAGATTGAAACGCACCGCGGGGGCGCTGGCGATTAGCGCTGACACGCGACTGCGAGCGAGAGGACGGCAGGCGTAGCAACTACTTGGCTACGGGGCGCTCGGGGTCAAATAGCAACGAAGTGTGGGGAGTGGGAGGGAGAGGCGGCAGAAGTAGATGCCTCCGCCGCCGCTGTCGTCGCCTTCACAGCCGCCGCAACTGTTTCCCTGATTTGTTCGCGGCGTCCACCTGCGGTGCTGCCAGGCAGCCAACCCGTCGCCTCCTCGGGAACATCCTTCGTCGCGGCGGGCACGCGCCCTGGGCCCTGGGCCTGGGCCCTGAGGGGGAAGCTGGCCCTGGGCCCTAGAGTTCACGCCAGGACCAGTTCCTCCTCCTCCTCCGCCTCATCCTCGTCCTCCACCGCGTCCTTATCCTCCTCCTCCTCCTCCTCCTCCTCCTCCTCCTCCTCCTCCTCCTCCTCCTCCTCCTCTTCCTTCCTCCGCCGCGCCCTCCTGGAGATCAGGGCGGGATACACGTTAGTTTTTAACCTGGAACCTCCCAGGATGCGTCGGGCTGGCATCCAGCACCAGCCACGCGCCATGGGGACAAAGCCGACGGCTACCATCCGGAGCAACAGAAGAAATGATTTAAGAAAACGCAGGCCGCACGAGCAGACGAAGCCGGGGCCCCAACGGCACCTCGAGCCTCGAGCGGCGCGCGCCCCCCCACAAAAAAACAGTGCAGCGGGCAGCGCGCACGGCAGGGCCCGCGGACGCAAGAGGCCGCTTGCCAGTGGGACATCGCACATACAGTGGATGCCAGTCCACAAGAAGCCTTCCACAAGAAACCCAACCCTGAGACCCCAGGACGTCCATTGAGCACTGGTGTGGGAACACGTCGCGCTCTCCACAGCAGGACCGTCTGAACCCAAGAAACCCAGGGCACCCTGGAGGCAAGCGGGGTGTTTCACGGCCACTGTCCTCACATGCGCAAAGCTTACGCGTGCACTGCGCTGCACTGTGCGGGCGCGCCCCGCCTCGGCAGCGGCGCGCCATCCATGCCGTTTGGCCTCATCCACGGCGCGGTGGCACCCTGCACCCTAAGGCGCGTGATTCAAAAATCGTGTCGCGCCCCGCGGGGCCTATTCATCAGCGTTCCGCAAGCAGGAAGAGGGGTCATTTGCTCAGCGATGGCTAACATGTAAAATATGTGCACCCTGGGTTCTCCTCCTCCCTGTCTGAATCCTCCTCTTCTTCCGTAAAACCATACCATCCTCCTTTTCCTCTTTCCTCTCCCGTTGTCCAGACCCCCAACCTCCTCGATGGTCTTGACGGTGGCTGGGAAGCGCGCGCAGTTCTCCTGAGGGCCGTGGATTCAGCCCCGCCCCATGGGAGACGGCGAAACACATCGAGCAGCCAAGAACCTATGTGCTGAGCTGTTCCTTAACGCGCTCGACGCGGCGGCGGCCCCGGCGACACGCAGTGCCCTGCAAGCGGATAGCGCGTGGCTCCGCTTCGCCGAACTGGAGGATGGCAAGAGCTCTCGGGGGCGGCCCAGAGGTAGGCGTCCAAAAGGGGGAGGCGCAAATCATGGCCAGCGGCATGTGCGCGGACCACGGGGAGGGGAGGGGGTGGGGGCGTACTGAAGCAAGAAGAGGCGCCATGAAATCCGGGGAGATATCATGGCCCCCGCCATGATATCCCCCCCCCCTGGTCATCACCCCCCTCTTGGCCGCCCCCGAAAGAAGTCGGAATGTTGGCACCTGGTGGCCAGGACGTTGTCGGTGCGTCGCGCCGCAGCTCTGGGCGTCGAGCCAGGCCCGGCGGCACGGCACGCGTTGAGCTGTCCCTTCGCCCTCCCTCCGGTTGACGGAAAGCCCTCGCAACAGCAACGCCCGGACGAGAGAGGACCAAACTCAACCCGCTCCGCCCCCGGCCTTTTGGAACATTCGCAGGCGTTGCGCTCGCGACGTTGGGCTCAAGCTGCCTGGGCCCCGCATCTCCAGAAACGGTTGTTCAACATCAAGGCCGGGGGCCCGGTGTGGGTTCATACGAAGTGGCTCCCCAACGCTTGTTGCACAATTGTTTCCTTCAACGGTCCCCCCCGCGTGGGCCATAAAAAAAGATCGGCGAGGCGGTGGAGTAGTAGGGAAGGACTCGACATCCAGCATGAGCCGTGGGGCGTGTGGGGGGCCGTGCGCCCAGGTAGTGGCTTCCTCTTCCTCCTCCTCCTCCTCCTCCTTCTTCTCCTCCCTCTCCTCGTCCGCTCTCTCTTCCTCCCCCCCTGGGGGCTTCCACGACGGCTCGGAGAACACGTAGCCCAATAGCCTGGCAGGACTTCGGTCCAGCGTCTGGCCGCACAGACGCTTCCAAAAGGCTGGGGGCGCTCGTGGTTCGGTGTGGGGGTCTTCGTTCGATCCTTTCTGAGGGGGGGGGCACGCAAGTGGTAGAGATCCCCAACTGCTGGAAGAAATCGAAGGCGCTGAACGCGCACTGGGCTCCCACCCGTCCACTGAAGGGGAGGGGGAACCGTTCGACGAGTGAAAGAAATAGGAATAGAGCAGGGACCGACCGTCCCAGCATTCCTATAGTCCTACCACGGAGTGTTCTTAGAACCCAAAACTGTTCTAAAAACACAAACAATGTTCTTGGAACAGAAGCCCGATGTGTTAAGACAAGACAATCCCAGCCAGAAATGTTCTCAGAACATTTCGTGGAAATCACAAAAGGTTCTTATAATATTCTTTTGAGGAACTATAGGCGAGCCAGGACGCTTCGCCACTGCTTGAAGGAAGGCGCCTCAAGCAGACTGAACTCTGGGAGTCGCAACACTATTCCTTCACCGGTCGAAGGGCACGGGCAAGGGCGGAACGAGGCGAGGCACGGGGAGGGGGCAGCAAAGCGGGCGGGGGAGGAGGAACGGGCCCTGACACACACACACACACACACACACACACACACACACACACACACACACACACACACACATATATATAAGCATACACAAATAATAGGATTCCCCATATGTTCCCATATTCTTTGGGTTCTTGCCTTCCCCACCACGTCCCATAGTTTCCTACAGTTCCTCTTTGGGGTATCGCCGATTACTAATGCCTCTGTGTGTGTTGCCCCCTCCTGAGAGGACTGCGCCGCAGCGGCCACGCCCGCTCGAGAGGAGCGGCCGTCCTCGAACCTCTTGTGGTTCAGGAGGAGGTAGAGCACCTGCCGCGCCGCAGGCCGGTCACCGCTCCTCTGTGGCTCTGCCGGCCCTCTGCAGCGCTCTTCTGGAAGGGGCCCACAGACACACAAAACGATATACACACAAATCCCAGGATTCCCCCATATTCTTGCAGATTTTCGGTGTTTCTGTCTCCCCCCCCCCACTTCCCACACTGTCGCATAGTTTCCTCGGAATCGACGCTGGGGTGTGTCTGTGTGTCTTTGCTCCTTCCGGAGCGTTGGCGGAGCAGCGCTTCCAAGAGAACCTCGCCTTCCCCTCCGGGTCCCTTCCCCGGGGGTCTGGACCAGAGGAGGGGTCGCAGGCCGTTGGAGCTCCTGAGGTCTCCCCGCTTGGCTCCACGGTTGCTCTGGGTAGCAGCATCCTCCCTCCGGGGCTGTGCGATAGTGAAGGGAAACTGGGACACACAAATAAATACACACAAATAAAAGGATTCCCCATATTTTCCCATATTTTCTGGGTTTTTGTCTTCCCCCCCACTTCCCATATTTTCCTATATTTTCTGGGGAATCGACGATGAATTGTGTCTGCGTGTTTTTTGTTCCCCTCCTGAGATATGGCACACATTCACTCAGATGGCCGCCAACATGTGTCGTTTCGCCTTCTCGATATGTCGCCGTATCGCTCTCGTCTGCCGAAGGAGGTCTGGTGCCTCAAGATGTCCCTCACGTGGCCCGAAAGGGATCTCAGAGGATAAAAAAGGAAAGCAGTGCCCCGGCGGCCCCCACGAACAACACAAGAAAAGCCCAGCCAATTGCTGATGGCCTACAGTATGGCCTCAAGAAGCCCAAACGAACCCAAACCAACCGAACATTTCGGCAGGAGCACGGGTATGACGGAAGCCCAACTCTGGCACGTTGAAGCTATTCCCCGCATTGTCCCTGCGGCCACATCGGACCCACCTCCTGAAGCAAATCAACCTGAAGAAAGCGAACAATACGTAATCGAATCGAAGGGACGCCCATTCATCTTGATCCCGTCCCCGCCTTTGGGGGGGGAGCGCTCGCGGGAAGGCCCAAACGGCCAAGGGAAAAATGTAAACGCAACGAAGGAAACCTCCTCTCCAAGATGGGCCAGAGACCTCCTGGTGGTCCCGAAGAGTCCGCCGAGAAGCCTCCGTGAGGCCTCAGGGGTTTCCCAAGAGGCTCCCAATACAACCCGCAGAGCCTTCACAAGAGCCCCCTGAAAGCATCCAACAGGCCTCTGCTGCACGACGCGGGCGCGCTAGCGGAATGGGTCTCGCGTGGAACGAAGCCAGCGTGGGACCGCCGCTGCCATTTCCGCCCCCCTCCCAGGAGAGCCCGGAGTCGGATCGATAAGTCGGATCGGGGGTCAACATGGATCGTATTGGCGGAAATCGGCAGCTAAGTCTCCTCCTCCTCCTCCTCCTCCCCTCTCTACCATGCTTGCTGAGCCACGGCCTCACCCGCTCCAGGGGCCCGCGCGATCGCCCGAAATAAGCGTCCCACTCCATCGATCTTTTCTTCCCTCGAAGATCGAAGCTCCGCGACCTCGCAAAGCCTCCCCGCTTTCACGCCCTTCCCCCCCCCCCGTCCCCGTCAGCTTGGCCTCGTCGGAAATAGGTACTGTCGGATCCTGTGGCTCTAAAGTGGGCCTGGTGGGCCTTCGAAACTCAGATGTTCCAGGTATAGTTTCCCCCGCCGGTCCATCGCCAATGCCCCCGTACCGTCCAGATTCAGATACAGCCGGGTTTCTTGTTTCGTTGCTTGGTCTCAGTGATGGTACGTCGCCTCCAGCTGCAGCTGATGGATCAGCTGCCGTTGATGGTCAGGCGCTCTGTACCAAACCTCTGTGGATGGTTGCTGCCAACGTTTGACATTCGATCCGACGGCGTCCCGTGCTACACGCAGTCGTTTTACCGTTCTTAAGATGTCTGTGCGTATGAGGCACCTGGGTGACATGTTTCATCGACGGGGGCTCTTTCTGGTCGGGACCTTGGAGACGCGTTTCCTCGTAGCGGGACACCTCGCATTCAGGTATATCATGTCATACATGCTGAGTGTGCACTGGAGGGCAAGTATGGGTGTTCTATATGGGTTGACACGTCGTGTACTGTTCTACCTTGTACCGAGATCCATGCTGCACACTGTGGCGTGCTGTTTGCCTAGCCTCGACTGCTGTGTGTTCTTATAGCCGTCAAGCAATTTGAGTTGGATGTGGTGGTCTGCCTCGCTCCGCACAGCAAGGCGGCGGTGCCACCTTGCACGAATGGTGGGACCGTGCTCGAGCTGCTATTCGTCGCCTTCGCTCGCCAGGCTCAGAGCTTGTGTGGCTGATAAGTGCAATGCGCGTGTTGGACCAGATTTCGAAGCATATCGGACCTATTGCCAGTGCTGCTCACAACGTCCCTTGCCAATGTTTTCACGAATGTCTCAAGGACCTGGACCTGTGGGCTCCGCCGACCTTTCCGGATGCTGCGCAGTCGTCAGCTAGAACGTGGCTCCCTCCTGGCAAACCGGACAGCCCTGGCTATCGCATCGATTATGTTGTCAGCTCGTTCGGCTTGCAAATCCAACGGCGAAAAGCTGTGAGGGAAGTCGATATGTCGACCTCTTTGTTGGACCACATGCCTGTGGGCATTCTCGCCAGTATCCCAGCATCGGCCAAGAGTCTTCGGCCACGTTCGCTTCGCAAGCTGCAATGCGACCCCGCCAGCTTTCGGAAGGTGGAAGCCCGCGCGCATTCTGAAAAATTGCTGCAAGTGGGTCCTACCGTAGGACCGTCCTACGGTGGCTTTCGATATCCCTACATCCGAGCACTGCTAGTTGTTATCGTGTCATCTTCGGTCGGCTCTCGAGGTTGCGTTTCCTGGTCGCCAAACCCCTCGCGGTCGAAAGCCTAGGCAACCTAAGGAGTCTATGGAGGCCATGGACAGCACAATACATAACCTGTGCGAGTTTCGTCGTCTGGGCATCAGATGGCGCCGAGCACAGCTAGCCATGCCATTCGATGCCTGGGCAACTCCGCTTAGAGCGGCTTGGTTCAATGCTCGCGCTGGCAGCCCTAATTTCTCCCAGTGCCGCCCCCAGTCTATCCGCCAAGGTTGGCTTCGCCAAGTCCGCGCTGCAATGCGACGGCTAAGGTCGGTGGCTGGGGGCGCTGCTAAGGCGTGCGAAACGGTGGCATGCTTCTTCTGTCTTAGACGCTCTAGAGGTCGGGCTTGGATTATTCCCGGGAGCGTCCGGGCACTATGGGATGTATTACAGATATTGAAGCTGGATTGGTGAAGGACAATACCTTTTGGGCGCCCGAGTTATCCGGGGTAACTCGGGCCCGGGGTAACTCGGGCTTGGATTCCCGAAAAAGGAACCCGAGTCATCCCTGACCCGAGTTACCCCTGATGATTCGGGGCTCTGGACGCCCGAGTTATCCGGGGTAACTCGGGCCCGGGGTAACTCGGGCTCGGACTCCCGAAAAACGAACCCGAGTTAGCCCTGACCCGAGTTACCCCTGATGATTCGGGGCTCTGAATACCTTTGCTTTACCTCAGGAAGCTTGTCCTGGGCCAGTGGCTCCCTCTGGTGCCTTTCGTCGCCTGTCTCCGGCTGCGCACGCGGCAGAGGTCAGTCGTCGCGTCGAGCCTTGGGCGCCCAGCGGCGCGCGGCCGACCCGGCGGCGGAGGCGGCCAGCGCCTCGTCGCGCACGGATGTTCTGGACGCCTTCGCCAAGATTGAAGGGGAACTGGGACACACAAATAAATGCACACAAATAAAACTATCCCCCTATTTTCCCATATTTTCTGGGTGTTTGTCTTCCCCCCCCACTTCCCATATTTTCCAATATTTCCTAGGGATCGCCGACTAATTGTGTCTGTGTGTGTTTTTTCCCCTCCTGAAAGATGCGCGCCGTGGTGCGCCTGCTCTCGCCGCGAGCCCGCTGCCCGAGCCTCTACCTCTGCTATAAGGGGAAGGGGCGCGGGGGACCTCTCGGAACCCTCGTCGACGTCGCCCATCGGTGGGCTGATCCCTCTGGCCAGGCCCATCCTGAGCCCAGGATCGGTGCATACGCCCTCCTACCTTGGCCAAGAAGGCATATGCACCGATCCTGGGTCAAGGATGGGCTTTGCCAGGATCGGTGCATGTGCATAGTTCTCTTCGCCCGATACCTCTGCTACTGGGAAGGGGCGGGGGACCTCTCCGCACCTTCGTCGACGTCGCCCATCGGTGGGCTGATCCCTCTGGGATGGGCGGGGGGGGGCTGCTCCTACTGCGCCTGCCGCGGACCCGGCTCGGCGCGTCGACCGCCTGCCCCATGTGCAGGTCTGAAGTTGGCGCCAGATCCCTTCAGGAGGGAAGAGAACACACAGACACGAAGAATTCGTCGATCCCTAGGAGAAGACTGGAAAATATTGGAAGTGGGGGGGAAGACAGACACCCAGAAGATATGGGGAGTCCTGTTGTTTGTGTGCATTTATTTGTGTGTCCCAGGGCCCCTTCAAGATCCTTGCCGCCGAAAGTTCCATGCAACATTCCCATCACCAGTGGAGAATTACCCTCTCTCGCTTTCAGGGAGTCTGGTGTTTGCTCGCTCGAGGGCGTCTGCTGCTGGCCCCGACGGGGCCCCAGGTCGCGTCGCATCGTCTTTCGCGGTCGACCTCGCCAAGCACCTATACCCCCCCGCGATCACGTCTACCGTTCGTTGTCTGCCAGCCGCTGCAGGGGGGGAGAGGGGTGCTACTGAAGGTGATTCAAGTCGACCTCAGCCTCACAGGTGGGATGTCACAGGTTTATCCTGGGCCCCTCGCAGCTTGCTAAAAGGTGCCGCAGCATTGCTAGGAAAGAAGTGAAGAATTCTCTAATAGGCTTTGATAAACGGCAGTACGGAGGTCTCCCAGGTCGCGGCACTGAGTTCGACGCAGTGGAGCTGCGCCAGTTTCAACAACGCGCGGTCGAACTCGACAGGGCTGTCCTCATGATGTCCAAAGATGTGGCCCGGGCATGCAACAAACCTGCTCAACAAACGT